GTATTCAAATTCAATGATTAAGAACCCAAACTGAATTAAAATCTCCTAAAAGGGATATGAAACAAACCATTATAAATGATTAAGTAAACATTCCCAAAATTCAAATGTTTTTGGTATTGAAAAAAATGCATGTATTCACTATTCAACAATGCATGAAGACCGAGGAGTTACTTTTGTAAAATTCGAGAAGCATTATTAAGAAAAATTTATATATATATATATATATATATGAAGAGGAGCAATAAAGCATTAAATTATATTATCATGCATTAAATTTTATTATCTCTCTAAAATTTTCAACATTCAATTTCATTTTTAATGTACAAAATAACTTGCTTAAATACCATAAATTATGAGCATAAAGCAATCAAGGGAGTTACAAAATTGTACTCGAATTTTAAGTTACACTCACTAATGAAAATGATTGTAACGGCTCTTTCATAGCAATTACTTGATCAAAATCAATTTTGAGAATTATTTTCTTAATTTGTATTTTTTTATGAATTAAATTATAATTTATTTTTGTTTTTATTTATATTATTATCTTTTTAAAATATTTTTCTCTGTGCAAATGTACAGTTGATTACTAGTGAAATTAAAAAACAAAGAAAATGAAATAAATGTGTTTAGAAGTTGAGCCCACCGACTAATGAAAGCCAATTGAATTTTGACCGTCGGCGGTGGGCTGAAGGTACGGCCCCTTCTGCCTATTTTTCAATGTAGGGTTGGGGGAGCAGTAAATTAATTGGGCCATATTTTAATTTATTGTATTGTTCTCTCAATTTAATTTTAAATATTAAACTATGTACTACTACATTCGACATAATGTACTTTTAATGGTTTTAGGAACTAGGATCCTAGTGAAAGTCATTTAAACGAATTTCAAGACAAATTTGAGAATATTAGGAATTTTTATTTAAGAATTTGAGTGATATTTTGCTTTTATTTAAATTCGAGTAATATATAATTTGTATTTTGTGTGACATTTTACATAAGTATTTCAGTAAGTTTTAAAAAGTACATACGAGACCAAGTAATGAATAAATTGATCGGTCACATAAGGTTTAAAACCTTTTAAAATTTCAAATGGATACGTCAAGCTATTTTTTAAAAAAATATAAGTTAAAATACAATATTATATATTTCCTAAAATATCAAAAAGTTGTTAATAGTTCAAAATAATCTAATCACGTTTGTTCTTTTCATTTGTATCATTAAATTAAGGTACCCTTTTTCTGTTCATAAATCACAAAATTCATACAGTATTGCAATATATAATGTTTGTTAGGTCTTCAGAGAGGAATTCAACGTCAACTTGACCAATAATGCTATTTGAACTAATTGAATCTTATAAAGATAGCTAATCGCATGAGCTTACAAAAATGTGTGGTGCCTTTAAAAAAAAGAAACTTTTCCCAAATAATCAAATTAGTGCTAATTTAGCTTTACACAATCACAAATCAAAAAAGGTTTTGACTTTTGACCAAGAAGTAGTTTAATTTTTATTTTAAAAATTATAAGCGTGTCGGCGTGTGTATGCCTAATTTTTATTGTGACTGTGTTAAGTTTAATTCATTGAATTTTTCATCAGCATCTGCCTAATTATTCACTCAAACTTATCAATCCAAACTTGGTTAAAAAATATATAACAACAAATAATGTCAACATTAAACTTAGCAATCCACAATTGTTGCATGTGCCTATAACAAATTTAATGTGGTATTTTACCTGTAAATAAGCATATAAAATTTTTAAAATTGTTTATATTAAAATATGTAATGGATTGACCGTCTAACAGTTATGACACAGATTAAAATGGTTTTAATCTTAATCAAACATATTTTTTTTTTTTTATATATATTTTTCAGTGAGGGCCGTGAGGCCAAACAACAAAACACTGTCTAGGCAATAGGCATTAATCAAAATGTCGGTAGCTGCCCACACAACAGAAGATTGTGAAGTATTGCAAGTTTTGATTTGAACAATTTTTAATTATTTTTTCATTACATTAAAAAACGTTTCAAAAAAAAATCATTTAGAAAAAACCCCACCATCAATTGGACATTATATGGGCTATGACACTACAAAACAATAAGTTAATATAGCCATCCATATCAATTAATACGAGCCAAACAACATACATCTGTACAACTTTAAAGTCTTTTTATTACATATAATTAATTAATTTTCCTTTTCATACTTCCGTATTCATTCTTTCAACCACAACTAGAATTTGGGATGTTGCCTTCGACTTATTACACGTGTTTGTTGAGGGGTGCATTGTTTTTGCCCTAAATTCAAATTTATGATCTATATTGTGAAAATTTTAATGATCCCTTGATATTTTAGTTTCATATGTATGCTTGCCTAACTTTTTAGAATGAAACTTAATAGAGAAGTAAATGTCCAATGGCATTTGAAAAGCTTCATATCCAGGATTTATAGAATTGTGCGCCCATTTTTTTAGTAAGGTTAGTGTTAAACATATTTAATTGTTATATAATTATAATTTTTTAGTAAAAATATTTCTAAAGTGTTATCTTGTAATTTACTTAATTACCAAAATTACTTTGCTATGCAAATTCATGTGACTCTTGATTTTTGATAATATGTTAATTTATGGTGTTTCTGAGTAGTCAATGTAGTTATGGATTTCAACCATATCTTAGGACTCTTAAAAATATAATTCGACAAGTTAAATTATAAATATATTTAAAAATTAATAATTTGTTATATCACCTTTTTTACAAGTTTCAATTTGATATCCATATTACATATATGAAATAAGTAAATAATTTTATTTGTCTTTGTTATGAAATTAAATATACTAGTAAAATCATATATCAATTAGAAAAATTATCTTTAAATTAACTACACATCAATTAGAAAAATTATTATTATATAAGCTTGTACAAGCGAAAAAATATAATTACAAATATAAACAATAAGCCATTTTTTTTTTCAAAAAAAATTGAATTTTAAATAAAAAAACTTATTTCTTACATTTATTTTAATAATTTTTGTATAAAAAATTTAATCGACACAACTGCACAAGTATAATTACATATATTTTACTAGTTAATAATTAAGGTGGACTATAACTATTTGTCACCAAGGAAAAGAAACATGGATTAGGAAAGGTAAAATATGACATTGTGAGATAAATAAGCAAACATTTTTCTACACACGTAACTATGATATGAATTATGAAACATTATTTCTAGAAACGTAACACTGTTTTTCAACTTAACTCAAACTCGTTAAGACTACAAAATTTTATATTTTTATGTGGTTTTTTCTAGTTTGATTCATCAAGGTTGAAGATCAACTTGTTAATATTGATAGACAGCCAGACAGGTCAAATTTGAGGTCTTTTACTTATTGCTCATTTAGTTAACAAAACGAGCTCGGCTTAACTGGATAAAGGCTCGATTGTAAGGTATGCTTGGATATAAAAAGTTTTGGTTTTGTTTGGATTTTTTTTTGTTTAGTTTGGTTAATTTTGAAAAAGATGATATGGTTAGTTGTTAGTAGGTATATTAAAATAATATTTAAAATAAAATAATTAAAGTTGATTTGATGTAAAAGTATGAGAGAAATGATTTAAAGTGATGGTTAGTTAAAATTATGTGAGTGGGTGAATAGTGAATTAAAGTTGATGTGGTGTATAAAAATGATTGATTGATATTATTTAATTATATTGATAATATTGATGATAGTGAAATTGAGTTAAAAATGTTTAGATTGTTTTGATAATTTTTGTATCCACGCATCCTCAGTTAATATTGATGTGGGCCTCACTGTTAAATGGGTCTCACTCTTAATCGTCCTAGCCTGTAAAACTGACAAGACATACAATTGGGTTTTGACTCTGAAGTCAGTCGATATGGTTTTATTTGTTAAACAGGCCCATTATCATGGGCCTAGTATGTAGATTTTGGAAGCGGTACGAATTAAGCTAAATTATTGATTATTTTAATTAATTTTGGGCACCTCTTTTCTTTGCATGTATTTATTTGATAAGATAAAGTATTATTTTCATTGAGATTTTAGGCAACAATAAAAGTTGTTCATGCTAAAGTATTTTTTCTTATTAAGAGTTTCTATAATATATTAATATGACACTTAAAAGAAATACAATAATATATTAAAATTAGTATTTGAAACTCAATAGTTTGGTGGGTAATTGATTTTTTCCCTTTATAAATAAGTACAATTTCAATTTTTATTGCTGTAAGATTACTGTAATTTTATGTTATAATTAATTATCCGGATCAGACACAATAAATTTCCTTGATGGAAAAATCAATTTTGGCACAGAAAAAAATTATATGTACACAAATTGGAGCTATTTTCACCACAATAAGTTGATTATTTATATCTTAGAATTTAGTATTATATAATTACTTTTTAATAATCACACACACACATATATATATATATATATAATTGCTGGCAAGTTTCAATAAATTTTATTCAACCACAATTAATAATAATATGAGTTTATTTAATTAAAATAGGTATTCAATTAATAAAAATAGGTTCAACATTTAATAAACATCTTTATGACTACTATTCAAATAACAGTTACACAAGTAAAACCTTATTATTATTAATTTTTTATTCTGTAACAACTTTACAAGATTTTCAATTTTTTGAATATATAATATTATTTATTTTTTTTACTAATATTCCTATTTTGTATTATAATTATACAATAAAAATAATTTATATTTATATGGAAGTTAAATAATTTATATTATATTATACATTTACAGATAGTCAAAAATTTAAAATGTAATACAAACTTTATCTAATTTAAATTTTTAAATATCATATGCATACATATAATGATAAAATTTTGTTTCCCTCTATGTATGTGCACAAGATCAAATAGTAGTTTATTAAGTATTATTAGGTATATATATATATATATAATAATTATGCAATGAAATTCAAAATTTTCCATTTATTAAAAGTCGCGCTTTTATAACTGCTGTCCCAAAACCTCCCTTCATAAACCCTAAACCTCAAAACATCAGTCATTTTTCTCCACCACCACCGGCCGTCGTATCAAAGCCGGCATGGACGACGAAGCCCCCGGAGCTGCCCATACATTCGTGGCGGACGCCGACATATGCCAGCAGCTGTTAACTCGCTACGCCCGCTCCTCAGCCGTGCAGCACCGCCACCTATGTGCCACCGCCGCCGCCACCCGTTCCATCATCCAGTCCTCATCGCTTCCCCTAACCCCACTTTCGTACTTCGCCGCCACGATCACATCCCTTTCCGATTCCAAAGCTCTGGATTCCAATGCCCTTGGCGCCCTCACCTCTTTCCTTTCCATCGTGCTCCCGTTGGTGGGCCGAGGCGAAATTAAGCCGGAGAAAGCTGGGGAGGCGGTCGGTGTATTGGTGGCGACGGTTGAAAAGGGTGGGGATAAGCTGGGTACGTCGGGTGCTAGGGCTGTGGTGAAATGCGTCGGCGTTTTGGTGGCGGAATTTTGTGATTTGGAGGAGTGGGACTCAGTTTCTCCAGGATTCGAGTGGCTTGTGAAATTCTCCATTGATAAGCGTCCTAAGGTTTGTGTGTGCGTTTTAACTTTTTGGAAAGATGCATGGTACTCGTTAACTCTGTAATGCAATAAGAACATGCAGTAATTGCGTGTAATGAATTTGAATGGTAAGTTAAGTATGGTACAATGTACAAGGTTATTCCCTAATTATAGAGTAGCAATGGGATCATATTTTGGTGTCCCAAATTAAGTGTGATTGATTTTCTGGTGCTGCTCATGTTACAAAGATTAATAAGAACAGATATGTGGTCAAGTGTCTGAAGGATTGCCTATCCATGTTTCAGGTGAGGAAATGTGCACTAGACTGTCTCTTGACAGTCTTCAAGTCTTTTGAGTCTTCTGCTATCTCCAAGAGGTCGTGTAAATCAATATACAAGTTGCTCAAAAAGCACATACCATTGACTAATGACATGCACACATCAGAAGGTGTTGGTAGAGGCAACTCTAAAGCAACATCAAAGCCCGAACACCAAGAATTCCTTCATTTGCTAAATTTGATTAAGCACATTGCTCCATATTTCTCTCCCAAGCTTAGTAAGAAAATGCTTTCACAGCTGTTGAAGATATTGAGTCCGAAGTTCTCAGTTGTTACCAGGCACCTGCTGGATGTTGTTTCAGCTATACTTGCAACTTCAGGAGCTAAAGTTACTAGTTCTAATGCCGAAGAGATTTTGAGGCCATTGGTTTCCTACATATCTATGGCAGAGAAGAATCCAGTTGACAGTGTATTGTTTGCTGCAAATTTAGTCAAAACTGCCCTCCAGAAACTTCATGATGGCGGTATCAATGAGTGGGCAACCTATATTCCTTTACTATCTGAATCCTTAGCCGGTGCGTTTGTATAGTTTAAGTTTTCATATTTTATGTCTGTGATGGCTAAACTTGTTCCCTACCAATGTAATTACATTGCTTGTATAGTTTATATGGAGTTCACTGCACATTTATTTTAATGGTATCTATAATTTCCTTTGCTTGTCGAGAGAAATCAATTTATAAAAGCTGGTGTGACAACATTTTATCAGAAGCCTCTTGAAGTTCCCTTACAAAAATGCATTCCCCTTTAGCTAATTCCATCAAGCTGGAATGAAGGTTGAAGAAGATAAATGTATAACTACAGATTGTTATTGAAAAAAATAGTCCCAACTTTTCTCCTCCTCAAACTGGAAATGATGTTAAATTCTATATTACACAATTGTAATTGAGTGGTTCGTATTTTTTTCCTTTACTTTATAATGCTCTAAAGTGTTCTGAATTTATGAGCTCCCCATTTTTGCATATTTAATACTTCTCCTCAAACTGGAAATGAGGTTAAATTCTATATTACACAATTGTAATTGAGCGGTTCGTATTTTTTTCCTTTACTTCATAATGCTCTAAAGTGTTCTGAATTTATGAGCTCCCCATTTTTACATATCTGAATAGTCTGATACACTCTGTGTGTGTGACGTGTGTTCATTCCTTTATAAGGACATTTTGCAAACTAACTCTATATGTCTCAGGTTTTCTATCTCCGGAGGATGATGCAGCTATACAGACATCCATCATACTTAGAGAGCTAATAGACCGACATATTGATGGAAAAAGCTTCTTAACCACTGAAAGTGAAGAAAAAGGGGATAGGATAAGTGATGATTCAGAGCACAAAGCAATACAGACTATATGTGCGGCGTTCTTCAATGTGCTGAATTCTTCGCCTCAAATTCCAAGTGAACACTTTTTTTCAGTTGTAGCTTGTCTGTTTCTCAAGCTTGGTAAGTGGACATTAAGGATTCATTGAGATATGACAGTACAAGAATATTTTCACCTCCATTTCTTCCATTATTTTTCTATGTTTTTTTGTTTTTCTGATAATGACTAGGTCAATACTGGTTATATGCTAGGAACTTGTATATCCGGCCCTTGATTGAGCTCTAGAGAATATTTGTATCTCAAATACAAATTTTCTGTTTTGTCTTGCATTATTTCGTGATAATTTGCTGACTGATACAGCTAATCGATTCCCTAGCTTCCATAAAATTCCACAGCATTAAACCAGGAATAAATTCTCATAGTCTCAAAAGTAATGTATGTAATAATTGTATTATTGGAGCTATCTTGGCTTTATTGCCTTAGCAATAATTGCCTTCAGTGAATCAATTATTAGTTCCTTATTGGACCCAAGTTCTCCAAACTTTTGACCTTTATGTAGGTTCTTCTCTGCCCCTCTGGTGATGGATCCTGTCTACTTTTTTAATGCTATTTTCAAATCTTCTTTTCCCTTTTGTTTTCTAGGTATGATGTCAGACGTTTTTATGAAGCATATACTTCTTAAACTTGGTGATTTGGTGAATGCTGCCCCTGCCGGTTCCGGAGAAATTAGACATGTGAGTGCTTGTTGAACTCTATCTCTTCTGCTAAAGTCCTTATCTACTTGGGGTTCTGATATTATGCAGAAACCGCTTCTTTGTTTGTTTTGCTTGTTAGATTATATGCAAATGTTACTATGAAGTTGCCCTTCTGATTTTTGTTGTTGATATTCAAGGTTGCCAATCTTGTCAGTTCTGTAAGTCTGGGAAATGGAACTTGAATCTGACATCCTGTTTCGTGTGACGTTAGACTTTTAATCATGTCATTTCATTATGGCTTGCTTGATTTGAAACGAATGGCATCACATTTGAATATCACTATCTAAATGCATTAGTTTGTTTCCATTATGATGTTTTGCTTCACTTAGAGAGTAAACATGCACAAAAAGAATTGGATTTCTTGCTTTTATTTGAGTGTGCAGCATACATATTGCACTTTAGTTTATGGAGACAATATCAGCGTTTGCCTGTATTCTCCTTAAAACATTAGCTAACATCTTTGCAATTTTTATTGGCAATATTTTCATTAGGTTTTGTAGTTGTAATTTGGGTATCATTTTTCATCTGCTCATTTCTGTGTAGCATATGTGATTTTGATTATTTTTGCAGCTCAAAGAGTGCATTGGGTCTGCTGTTGCTGCCATGGGACCAGAGAAAATACTTGCACTGATTCCAATTACCGTCACTTCCAAAGATTTTTCCTGCTCAAATATTTGGTTAATACCAATTTTAAAGAAAAATATTTTTGGATCATCGCTTAGGTTCTTTATGAAGCATATTGTACCTCTTGCTAAATCTTTTGAGAAAGGATCTCGCAAAGGTATTTGCCAATGGCTATTAAAAGTTTTCCCAGTAAAATTGTGGTTGATTGTGTGTATATTTCTTGGTATTTTGATGCTTAACCACATCAAATTGCACATTCCAATTCTGATGTCAAGGGAAAAATTGCTCTCTTAAAAAAAGAAAAAAAGGAGTAATGACAGATGATCTCCAAATTAAAACATTATTCAGTAACTTTGAATGTCTAGAAATATCTAACACATTTCTAATTGTAGACATAAATATTATAAAATCATAAATATTTCAATGCGCTCTCCTATAACCCTGGGAAGTCCATCCCCCTTTGGTATAATGGATTTTATTTGACCTTTATTTACTATATTCTTAGAATTTATAATTATGCTTCTTTTGCGACTCTGTATACATCTCTATCAACTTCATTTTTGGAAAATGTGCAGTGATATCTCTGTTTAGTGTTTGTGCCACTAGCAAATTTTAATGACTGCTTTGTCGATATAGTTTCACTGATATGCTGAGAACCTTGTGTAACTGGAAATTTTTCCTACTCCTGGAATTTAAATTTTGTGCTCCTTTCCAGTTAAAAAGTCAGTAATTCGCGAAGATCTGCAGGCTTATGCCCATAGCTGTTGGGGATTGTTGCCTGCCTTTTGTCGCCAACCAAGTGATACTCATCAGAGTTTTGGAGATCTAGTCAAACTCTTAATTCCTTTTTTAAAAAAGGACTCTTTCAAACTTGCGAGTATTGCAATTAGTTTGCAGGTAGGGTTCTATAACACATTCAGTTTCTCTCCACTCTCTTTGCTTTGTATAAGCTTTTGTGTTCTCTTCAGTTGACATCTCTTTTTGGCTATTGTAGTAACCTTATATTGTTTTGTTGGTTTGTGTTTTCTCGTTCAGGAGCTTGTAAATGGAAATAAAAGTGCGCTTGCCTCTGCTGAGGGGTGTGTGCAGTTGACCAAAGTTCAAAGGGCAGGGGACCTTGATGAGTCTGCAACAGGTCCATGGATAACACATGTTTATAGTAGGAAAATAGCAAAGAAAAATATTAAGGCTTTGGCTGCATGCGCCAAAGATTTGCTTCGGGCCTTAATTGAGGCCTTATTTGAGACTGAGACACCTCCAGAGACACGGGATCTTCTGAAGGTTGCCATTATTTTTGTCATTTTTAAGTAAAAAGGTTTTTCTCGTCATTCCCTATAAATATTTTTCTAGATTTATGTATTGCTAGGAAAGAAGTTATCAACTAAGTTGATATGCCACATTTTTACAATTCTGTCATTGTACAGTTTAATACCTTGTTTCCTGGTGTCATCCATTATGGTTATTAACCTTGTGATTTATTGATTTTTAATCCCTTACTAGTGGCATCTGAATAGTATCTATTTCCCCTTTTTGAACATGTAGGGTGCTATTGGATGCTTGCTTTCTGTATGTGATGCTTCACTTGCAAAAGATTTATTTATTGCTTCACTCGAGAAGCTTCAGCTCCAAGATAACTTTGGTGGACTTGGAAAGATAGAGTCTGATACTGATGGTTCAATTAAAGAAAATGAGAACGGTGAAATAGATGCCAAGAAATGGTACAAATAAATTCTTTTTCAATGTGTTACATGCCGTTCGACATTATCATTTTCACTGTACTGCTATTTGCTTGTTATTTCGAGAATTCATATATACCTGTATGCAATATTTTGCTCTAATTTACATTGATGTTGTCATTATTTATCTGTGTAGGTATCTAATATTGGACCTTGCGTCTTGCATGACTGAAGGGTCAGATGAAGATCTAACTAATCTGCTATTTTCTCTTATTAAGCATACTTTGCAGGTTTGCTCGTACCCTTAATTTGAATATCTGATGATATTATTAATTATGCTCTCGTGACAGTCTGTATTTTGGATACCAGGCGAGTGAAGAGGTCGGCCAGATGAAAGCCTATCAAACTCTCAGCAGAATTCTTGAGGTCTCTCTATCTCTCTCTTGTCTTTTATTTATCGTGATATGCTTTTCCTTTAGTATATACGGTAGAAGTAATAAATTTATCCACTCTTTCTTCAGAAACATTCTTGGTTCTGTGCTTCTCAATTTGATGCGGTGATGGATGTGTTGACTGGGATGAAGTCTTCAGATAATTTTGCATTGGTTGAGAGCCGTTTTGCCTGTTTGCAGACCTTGTTAATTCATGGGTTAATGGTAGGCACTTCTTTGATTCTTGGCTGATGGATCTGATAATTAAATTACACAATAGATTCCTTGCATACTTAAGTTCATCTGTTTCTGCAGCATTTTTCCCTAATATTCATTATTTGAATCTAAAACTTTCTTACTTGCAGAGAGACTTGGATGAGGAGAATACTAAGGCTTTCCTTATTCTGAATGAGATTATTGTCAAGTTAAAAGATGTAAGAACTACTAACTTGAATTGATCTTCTTTAAGATGCTAGTACCTTAAAAATGACCCCCAGCTTTTGTGCAGTTGCTTTCATTATTGCTCTCTCTCTCTCTCTATATATATATCCTTTTTTTTTTTTTGNTTGCTATATATTTTGTATATATTTAGTAAAAATAGACAATCCGAATATAATACAATTTATAGCTGCTTATATAGTGATTGTCTTGAAGTTGAAATATATTAAAACATTATTTGTTTTGAAGGATCTGTTAAACATTTATTATTTGTCCTTTGTTAATGCCAACTTCTTGTGTTTAATACCTGAATCATTTCAAGTTCAGTCCAAAGAAGAAGGCAGGAAAGTAGCTTACGATGCTTTACGTGGGTTGAGTTCCAAGTTGCGCAGCTCATCTGATGCTTCTTCTAAGGGTCCTTACCACAAACTTCTCACCATGGTAAGTGCAGGCTTGCAGCTGATCCCATCCCAACCTCATAGATTCATATGCTTACCTGTTATAAAACCCAATTAGTGATTACGTAAATATTTGGATGCATTAATTATTTGATAAATTCTTACTTTATAATTTCTGGTGTTTGCCCATGATGTATGCAAATATGCCTGCTGGTGTAGAGTTTAGGGTGCTCCTTATTAGAGAAACTTTATTAAGTGTTTACATGCATACCCACATCAAATTGATTTTTTTGGGGCATTTGCCCAGATTACAGGTTATCTTTCTGGTTCCTCTCCTCAAATAAAGAGTGGAGTGGTGTCGGCCCTCTCGGTTTTAGTTTACAATGATCCCGATATCTGCATTACAATGCCTGAAGTTGTACCATCTGTTATGGGGTTGTTACACAGCAAGGCAGTTGAGCTGATAAAAGTAAAGTTTCATTGCATCCAGATTTTGGCACAAATATTTTTTTTTTTACATTTATTTATATATATATAAATATAAATGTAAGTGTATTGGCTAATGAGGTCGTGATAAATGTTGGACAGGCTGCATTAGGTTTCGTGAAGGTATTGGTTTCATGTGTTGAAGCAAATAATTTGCAGCCTCTACTATCGGACATTGTGGATGGAATTATTCGTTGGTCATCTGTCTCTCGTCACCATTTCAAATCAAAGGTGTGTGATCTCCAGTGTTTTCGTCCTTACTTCATGAATGATTAATGTTTTGAAATAACAAAAAAAAAAAAAAACCTCTTCACCTAAAATACGCTTTGAATTTATTTCTTCGTTAATTGTACTGAGGTGCTTGTTTTTATCAGGTCAGTGTAATACTGGAGATCTTGATGAGGAAGTGTGGTCCTGCGAAAGTGAAGGCACTTGTGCCTGAAAAGTACAGCGATTTTGTGCAGGGTGTTTATGTGGTACTCAGTCATTTTATACACAAATGTCATACTTTATAATACATGGGTACCTTTTTGGAATTACTCTTAAATCCTGTATCATTGGGTATTGGATTTATAAACATTATCAGAACAGTAGATAATTTGAATGTCTCAATACCACATATAAACAACCATAACTTGAATTATCAGAAGTAAACCTTGCAGATTAAGTTCTTAATGACAATTACTGCATCGACATATTGCTGCAGAATCGTCATGGGAAGGTTGCGAGTTCAAAGGATGCCGGACACAAAGACTCCAAACCAGAGCTTTCTGATTCGTCTTCCAAGAGGTTAGCTTCTTTGTCCTAATTAGTTTTCCACTTTACAAACTAACCCTTAAAATGTTACACAACAATTTCGTAAGGGTTATGCTAAAAACCTCACGGTTTGTCAGAAACTTTTTCTTTAGAGTTGATATTTTCTGATATATTGCAATAAACGGCTATATTCCAGGCAGCAGAAGAGAAAACGAGGCGAATCGGCTGGTGAGGGAAGACCCTGGAAAAGGAATCGGGATGAGAATGAAAAGGGTGGCAAGTCCATTGCAAGAGGCGAGCCTTCTAATAAAGGCAACCGACAAAAGGGCAAATTAGATAACTTTCGAGGCAAGAAGCACAAAGATAGGACACCAGTTAATAAGAATGGTGAAAAAAGCGTGCCGAGACCAGCCGGAGGTTCCAAATTTGCCAAGAAGAGAAATGTAGGAAGAAAGGATAGAAAACCGGCTGCTCGTAGGTCATGAAAGAGCTATAATTTTTGTTACCTAGTCACTGTTATTAGTTTTATTGTATTATCATTTTTTTTGTGTTTGTTTGTTTGTTTGTTTTGGATCTCCTTGGGATTATTGGGTTCGGGCTGTGTACTCTGGTGCTGAGAAAATGATGTTTTACTTGAAGTACAATGTAGAGTTTTTTGTTCAATGAAGATGCAAGAGTTTTCTTCTGATATGCACAAAATAGATGGATGAATAACGGAAGAACTGGCAAAGCAGAATAGTTATGCTGAATTATGCACCTGGTTCCTGGTTCAATTGTACTTCATTAAAGGCTATAGTTTGGTAGGTCTAATGGTTAAACATTTGGTAGGTTTATTAGTTAGATAAACATATATAAATTTTTTTAACATACGTAAATACTTTTAAATTGAAATGTCACTCGAGTCCTCTCTCTTTTCCTATTCTTTTTGTTAGCAACTTTTTTTTTTAACTTATAACGAAAGGACATTTTCTTTGATTTTTTCAATAAAGCAGATTTCTTTTATAATAAAAAAAATCACTAAACCTATCGAATAAATATTAAAAATGGTAAAATTGAACTGATAAATAGTGAAATTTATTTTATTAAAAAATGTACAATAGAAAATAAATGAATAGTAGAATTTTGCGAGAAATTCATATCAAATCACGTACTCTGAAATACGCTTTTTATTCAATGAAAGGAAATCGTTTAAGCGACTTACGATTCCAATAGGATAAAGCTTTCTTGTTTACGGCCACGGGAGCCGAATGCAAGTGGATTTATCCTCTCACCCATGGCCGCTGTCAACCACCTGTCCCCATATTTCACCGGCCACCGGGAGCCGCAGCGCGCTCCCGCCAAAACCCTCACCCGCTTTAAGGTCTACTGCTCGAAGCCCACAAATCCAGACCCGTTTGCGGAGAACAAGAAGGCCCAGGTAGACTACGACGCCGGGACCCACAAGCTATCGACGAAGATCTCTGGCATCCGAAAGTCGGACCTCCCAAAACGTCAGCGTTTGAGGGTGGACGGAGACCGGTTTCAGAAGGACTGGAGCATATCCGAGGTGGTAGATAGGATAACTGAGCTCGACCACTGGGAAGACGTTGACGGCGTTCTCAACCGGTGGGCCGGCCGGTTTGCGCGCAAGAATTTCCCGGTTTTGATCAGGGTAATTAAATTCTTGTTCTTACTCTCTTCACGATGAGAAATTTGAAAATTTTGATGAACATAACAGCACAAAGTTCGAGAATTTACAGTTCATATGATTTTTTAGGACAATCTTGTTAGGACGTTTATTCTGGCTGAAGGAGCAATTTTGTGTAGGTCTTTTCTGTCGAAGAAAACTAGAAAGAGTAAAGGAACAACCTTTATTGCTTTTATGCACAATTTCTTGCTTAGTTTGTGTAGACAGTAGAAGAACTAGCTTGAAGCTGTTCAAAACAACTTGTGATTTTAAGTCGATGCCTATGATGGTTAAGTTAATGCATGACTGCCCCAGCTTTTGTTGTTTTCACAATTGGTATAGTCTAAGGGACTCTTCTAGTTTCACTTTGATTCTGTTAATTTTCCGAAAAAAAAGGCTGTTAAACTACGCCTCCTTTTCGTTGCAGGAAATAACCAATCGAGGTTTCATAGAGCATAGTACCCGAGTTTTCAATTGGATGAAGAATCAGAAAAATTATTGTGCAAGAAATGACATTTACAATATGATGATCAGATTGTATGCTAGGCATAACCGCATTGACCAGGCTCGTGGTCTATTTTTTGAGATGCAAAAATGGAGGTATGCTGCTTCTCTCCATTTTATTTATTGTGGTAAGGCTTCACAATTGAACTAGATTTTGTTCCACCCTTCTGGATTACCGAGCAAATTATGTTCATCAAATGAGTGAAAGAAAAAATAGTTGGGGGGCCTGTTTAAGGCGCTGCTTCTTCTAGATACTGGAGATTCAAATTCCAATTGCTCAACTAAAGTATTACACTAAATATTTACTTCATGATTGCCCTGCATATGAAGTTTAGGAGGCTTTCTTAGCACTTTGTAGTTTATTTTTTCCTTATTTACTCATTTTATGGTATTGATAACAAATATTATGTTGTTATTTTTTCTCTCTTCATTGTGCTGTTTGTTATATTTTGTAGGTGCAAGCCTGATGTTGAAACCTATAATGCTCTAATCCATGCGCACGGGAGAGCTGGACAATGGCGATGGGGAGTGAATATCATGGAAGACATGCTTCGTGCAGCTGTGTGTATTTTATAATTTTCCTTCCTAATCAATCTTTACGGTTAGGATGTGACTCGTGAGCTTCCTTCTTCATTTTCATTATTTTATCTGTCAAATTTATCAATTGGAGCTCCTGGTGTTAAATCCATGTCAAAAGGAAACACTGTACACTTTTTTGAATTTTTCATCCATTTTTAATCTTCTCTCGTATTGTTTCGAAATCTGCAGGTACCTCCAAGTAGAACAACATATAACAATTTGATCAACGCATGCGGATCGAGCGGCAATTGGAAAGAGGCCTTGAGAGTTGTTAAAAAGATGACCGATAATGGAATCGGGCCCGATCTCGTCACTCACAACATAATCCTATCAGCATACAAAACCGGATCACAGTACTCGAAAGCAATCGCGTATTTCGATCTCATGAAGAGCACAAATAATGTCCATCCAGACACCACGACTCTCAATATCGTGATACATTGCCTAGTTAAGCTCGGCAAATTCGAGGAAGCCATTCAAATTTTTAACTCAATGAGAGAGAAAAGTTCCGAATCATCTCGTCCGGATATCGTTACTTACACGAGCATCATGCATATGTACTCTATTTGCGGACAAGCCGAAAATTGCCGTGCGGTTTTCAGCACAATGCTTGCCGAGGGTCTTAAACCGAACATCGTCTCGTACAACACTTTGCTCGGTTCATATGCTTCACTCGGTCAGAGTGAACAAGCAATGTCGATTTTTATCGAGATGAAAGAGCGTGGTGGGGTCCACCCGGACGTCGTGACTTACACTTCTTTGCTAAACGCGTTCGGAAGATCACAACAGCCCGAAAAAGCCCGGGAAATATTCGACATGATGAGAAAGAACAATTGCAAGCCGAATTTGGTTACTTACAATGCTCTTATCGACGCATATGGATCGAACGGCTTTCTAGCTCAAGCTGTTGAGCTTCTGCGTGAAATGGATGAAGTTGGGATAGAGCCAAATGTTGTCTCGATCAGTACTTTACTGGCCGCGTGTGGACGGTGTTGTGAAAAGGTGAAGATTGATTCAGTACTTAAAGCTGCTAACTTGCGAGGGATAAGATTGAACACGATTGCTTACAATTCTGCTATTGGGAGTTATATGAATGTCGGGGAATATTGTAAAGCTGTAGATATTTACAGGAAGATGAGGGAAAAGATGATTAAGCCCGATTCTGTGACTTTTAATGTTTTGATTAGCGGATGTTGCAAGATGTCAAGGTTTAGTGAAGCACTCGATTTTTTGGCTGAGATGAGGGATATGAAGATTCCTTTGTCGACTGAGGTTTATTCATCTGCAATTTGTGCTTATAGCCAACAGGCAAGTTTCAAATTTATTCACGATTCGTGAGTCATTTTAATTTTAATATTTATATATATATATATATATATATATATATATATACATATATATTGTTTTTATCTTCCAGGGTCAGCTTGCTGAAGCTGAATCTTTGTTCAGCACGATGAAAATGGATGGTTTGCATCCAGATGTTATCGCATATACAGCAATGCTGCATGCTTATAGTTCTGCAGGTGAGTGAGTTCATTTTAGTTTGTCAAATTGTGAAACTTTTACAGTTCAATAAAAAGTACCGAACCAGACTTTGGTCGATTATTACATTTTGAGTGCAGAGCAATGGGAGAAAGCTTTTGGAGTTTTTCAAGAGATGGAGCTAAACAGTGTCCAGCCAGATTCAGTTGCTTGTTCAGCTCTTATGAGAGCTTTCAATCGAGGATCTCAACCGGGCAAAGTCATCCTTATTGCCGAGTTTATGAGAGAGAAAAAGCTCCCGTTCGATGATGCTGTGTTCTTTGAAATTGTTTCTGCATGCAGCATGTAAGTCTTTTACTCGTTTAAAATGTTCTGTTAAATGAAAAAATAAACTAGAATTAATCGCAAATTGCAAATTGCACGCTATAGCAAATTCAAAATGTAACTAGACTTTGTTCTTTGAGGAAGTTTGCGGGATTGGAAGACTTTGACTGAAGTTATTCAGACGATGGAGACTTCTCTTCCTCGTATATCAGTTGGAACTTTGAACCATCTTATCCATTGTTTCGGTAAAGTAGGCAAAATCGACACCATGATGAAGGTATTATCATAATTGCAGTTTATCTGTTTTTTCACAAAGAAAATTGCATTAAATACTGATTATCGGGCTTTCTGTAGTTGTTTCTGAAAGTAGTTGCATCGGGTGCACAAATCGACTCGAGTACATACACAGTTTTGTTAAAGAATCTTTTAGCCGCTGGGAATTGGAGAAAATATATCGAGGTAAAAGCTCTCAAACTTCTCCAGAATTACTGCTTTATTTATGAACTTACATTCATCTTCTAATGAGTTAATAAGCACTAGTAACAAGTATATGGTTAGAAGCTCCATACTCTAAATAGCAAAGAATTCCCAGCAATTTCTTTTGAGTTAATCCAACATGATGAAAAAGAAATTTGACTTTTGATGGAAGGTCATGCAATGGATGGACGATGCTGGAATTCCACCTTCAGTTCACGTCTACAATAGCTTATTGTCTTATGCTCAGACGAGCTGCGGACCTGAAAATGCTGCGGTTATAAGAAAGCGTACGGGTAAGTCGGCTAAGGGTCATTATTATTAATTTATTAATACTATTGTTTTATAATTTGAATTTGACATTTTCATAAACGATTTCTTTCCTTTCCTTTCGGCAGAATCCTTGAGGATGAAATTTGGTGAAACGATTTCAAGCGCCGAAGAACGCGATCAAACTCTTGCAACCAATGCATTGATGAGTAGCACCAGCTGATGAGGTCTCTCCCTCTTTNNANNAATCAGAGTTAATTTTGAAAAATATGGTATGGTTAGTTGTTAGTGGGATATTGATTGATTTGATGTAAAAGTAAAAGATAGATGATGAGAAATAATTATTAGTTAAAATTATTTAAGTGGATAAATAGTGAATTAAAATTAATATGATGTGTAATAATGATTGGTTAATATTATTTGTTTATATTAATAATATTGATGTAGTGCATTGAGTTAACTTTCAGTTATATAATTTATATTTGAATTAAAACATTAGCACATACGATAATTGAGAGTCATATAAAAGTCCTATTAATTAGAAAAGCATGCGAATGGTAGGATTTTAGAAGTAATCCAATAAAAAAAACTTCTCCATTAGTATTTTTCTATTTCTATTTATGCTGATAATTGGGAGTCATATAAAAGTCCTACTAATTAGAGCATCTCCAAAAGCATGCGAATGGTAGGATTGTAGAAGAAAAGAGGGTGGCCTGGCCCCTTTTCTTCTTATCATATCACAAGGGCGCGGCTCTGTATGGGGCTCGTACTGCGGAGCAAGTCTGGGAGTCCTTTCCACTCATTGAGGATTCTATCTAAAAAAGAAGGTCAACGGGGGAGACTACAGTAGCTCGAACTCAGACTATCTACGAAAAAGCTAAAACTCCCTTGTCTGGGCATCATACCTACTAGGAAGCATAGCGGGCGAAGGACGAGAGACGAAAGCAGATGTCAGTGGGAAGGCAGATTTTTCATTTGGAGGTCAATTACACCTTATCTCTGGGGAAGTGCATGGAGGACCCGAATATTCCAGAGGAATACTATTATTTTGAGGAGGATTATTATAAGGCCCTCTCGACTGAGCATATCATCTAGGATCCACTCCCATATGCACAGTCTACTCAACTGAACAACACGTCCAGTCTACAAATGACTCCAAGATCCCTCTTATCCTGGATCCCTGCGCGACAACCGACTTGCCCGCAAGACTTGTCCTTTTAGGTTAGGTGGACCAGACCTTCGTCGCTCTGCACGTCATCCTTTGCGCTCCACTACAGAGATCAAGAATGTACAAGGTAGGTTAAGCAACGACATACCAGCGAACCCCTGGCTAACCCATTAGCCCCGTAAAGCCTAGACCAAAGGTAGGTGCCTAATAGCATAGCCTACCCATCATCAAAGCAAGCCCAAGCCCATGCAAGAATGACCTCATTGTCATGGAAGCCCTTAGAGTAAATAAAAAATCCAAGGGAGGTTCATGGCCAAGAGGAAAGATGCGCGAGTAACGGTGATTTTAGAATGTACTAGTTGTATCCGAAAGGGTGTTAAGAAGGTATCGGCGGGCATTTCCAGATATATTACTCAAAAGAACCGGCACAATACGCCCGATCGATTAGAATTGAGAAAATTTTGTCCCTATTGTTACAAACATATGATTCATGGGGAAATAAGTAATCCAATAAAAAAAACTTCTCCATTAGTATTTTTCTACTTCTATTTATGTTGATGTGACATGAAAGAGATAGAATTATTCTAAAAGTATTTCTAATATGAAAGTTTTTCAAGATTTGATGAGCCATTGTTTTCTCTTTATTTATTTATTTATTTTTTATTTTAAATTATCATTATAAAATTCATAAACAATAAAAGCTAAATAAATATAACATTGTTTGTATAAAGATTATTTATTTATTAAAACATGTATCTAGTATTTACTAAAAGACTAACTAAACTTGAAGAAAAATTTAATTTATAATCTGAGTCGTTGATTAAATTATAATTTGTTGTTATTTATTTGTACACACTTTATCAAAATCAAATTAATTTGAATAAAGAAAAATAAAAGAAAAAAATTGAAAGGCTTTTAAAATTATATTATAAATCTAATGATATATATTTGGTTAAGATTATGATTAAAATACATTACAAGAGATTTTTAAATAATTACGATACAAAAATGATTAATATCAGTGGTGGGAGGAGCATTTATGTTGGGCGTCCTTAAAAATAATAAATACTGTCACTATGATTCATATAAACTGCTGTGCAGTTGAAATTTAAGAAAATTTTTTAGCTTTTAATAAACAATTTAATAAAAAAAACGAGCTGTTTAGACATTTATCACGAGAGTTATGATTCATATAAACTGCTATGCAGTTGAAATTTAAGAATAAGAATGAAACTGTTGTGCAATATATATTGTTGAAATTCAGTTCAACTCTGCAAGTTTTTTAGCCTTTAATAAACAATTTAATGTAAAAGCAATATATATTGTTGAAATTCAGTTCAACTCCGCAAGTTTTTTAGCTTTTAATAAACAATTTAATAAATAAAAACGAGTTGTCTAGACATTTATCACACGAGAGTTATTTATGAACATGTCATTCTATGAACATGTCATTCTATTCCATGTAGCCTATTCCATGTAGCCTATTCCATGTAGCCATCTATTTATGAACATATCATTCTATTCCATGTCATTATATTTCGTACATATGGACAGAAGCCATTTATTTATGAACATGTCATTCTATTCCATGTCATTCTATTTCGTACATGGACAAAACCATCTATTATAGATGGCAATTCACTTCAACCAAAAGCCATCTATTATAGATGGCAATTCACTTCAACCATGGAAGATGCTCTTAAGACGCCATACCAGGAACTCCATTCAAGTACTTGAACTGCTACAAGGCCCAAAAAGAAAATAAATAAATAAATAAAATAAAATAAGAAAAAAAAAATGCCTCAATCACACAAAGGCTCTTTCACCAAAAGGTTCATCTTTTCCTGCAAAAACTCAAGCACATCTTTCCTTCCTTCCTTTATAAGCAACTGCCTCAACTTCCCAAATGTATGCCTTCCAGGCTGAATCCCCCTCTCCATCATCTCCTCCATTAAAACACAAGCCTTCGACACATCCCCTTTACTGCAAAACCCGTTAATAAGCGCACTAAACGTGTGCATGCTCGGCGAAAACTGCTTCCTCTCCATATACTTCCACACTTTCATCGCTGTTTCCAGCTTATCCATCTCACAAAACATCTTAATCATCATCGTATAAGTGTCTGCATCGGGCTCGCAAATCCTCGACAACCTACGAAAAACCTTGAACGCCTCCTCTCTTTCCTCCCGGCCGATCAAACCATTAATGAGGATATTACATGTTCTCGAATTCGGCTTCACCCCTTTCTTATCCATCTCGTTCACCACTTTGAACGCGTTCTTGAATTTGTTCACCTTGCAGAATGCGCTTATGAGTGCATTGTACACGGCCACATCGGGCCCCACATTGGCCGACCTCTCCATCTCAAGAAAAGCGTCGATTGCATCCTCGATTCTGTTCTCTACACCGTAAGTGTGTATGAGCACACTGTAGATAAACGGCGTGGGCCCACATCCATTAAATTCCATCTCCTTAACAATTCCAACGGCCTCGTCTGTTCTTCCTGCTTTGCAGAGAATATCGACCATGATCCCATATGTCACGATATCGGGCTGCAGGCCCGAACTCACCATCTCGTTGAAAACCTCGCGGGCCCGAGGCAGGTTTGGGGCCCGGCCCCACCCCTCGATCAAAATGCTGAAACTTTTTGAGTCGGGCCGAAACTCATCCCTCATCCCGTCGAAAATCTCTTGGGCTTTCCTCACGTTTTTCGACTTGCAGAGTGCGCTCAGCAGCCCGTTAAATGCGGCCAAGTTTGGGGGCAAGTCGTATTTTTTCATGACGTTGAAAGTGTAGACGGCCTCGTTGACTTTCCCGGCCCTTGCGTATTTTCGCATGATTATGCAGAAGGTCTCGATGTTTATCGTTCCTTTGCTTTTCATGGCGTTCACAAGGTCCCACATGAGCTCGTACTGCCGGATTTTGGCGAGAGAACCGATCATCGTGTGGTAGGCTCGGATGCTGTGCTCGTAGTTCCTCTGCTTGCCGGCCCACAGGAAGAACCTGTGGGCCAGCATGCCGGCATTCTCGAATTTGATGAGGACGTTCTCGACTACTTCTTCGGGAACACGTATGCCGCTCTGATCGAGGGAGGTGTCGAGGCCGAGTTTCGGGCAGGACATGATTATTTTGCAGACCCTTTTTGTGGTTTCGTATGGGTCTTGCACCATATCTCCTGAGCTGTAGGGTCTAGCGAAAGTTGAGGTTTTGAAGAAGAAAATTTTACTCCGGCTGCAGATTCCGGCGGCCATCTCCGGTGGATGTGTAAATGAGTAAAGCTGATAAATGATGGGTAGCTAAGTTACAGAATAGAACATAGAGAAGAGATAAATAACTATATTACATCATTACATTCACACAAAAAAGAAAAGGGGAAAAAAAAAAAATCTGATAGGCATTTCATCGAGCAGGTGGTGGGCGACATGATTACAGGCACATAATGGTTTTTCTAAACTTGAGACTCGTTCACAGCTTCGATCAGATGAAGAAGTGATAAGAAAATTCCACAAAAAACAAGAAACATTTGAATCGACCTAAAATATTCTATTTTCTCAGTTAGTATTTTCCTCTAAAAGCTCTGCTTTTGTTCTTCGCGAGCCGCAGAGTGGTAGAGGTTATGGTGGTGGGCTGGGCCTTATAAACCATATTGATGATTGTGGGCTTGTGATGGCTTCTACTAGCTGGGCTTATTATTATTATTATTATTATTATTATTATTATTATTATTATTATTATTATTATTTAATAATTAACAGTCAAATAAGATATTTTAGTAATTCATTAATGATTAGAATTTTGAAGCTTTATACATGTAAGCTCGGCCATTCGATATGGAAAGAATTACAAAACACTAGAAGAATAAATTTAAAACACAAGAGGAGGGCAGATTTGTATTATTATTATTATTATTATGGTTATTATTATTATTAGCAGTCAAATAAGATATTTTAATAATTCATTAATGATTAGAATTTTGAAGCTTTATACATGTAAGCTCAGCCATTCGATACCTATATATATAATTACTATCTAATGCATTGAATAAAACATTTAATAAAACTTATTTTCATTTTCCTCCAAAAGGAGTTATATTTTTTTAATTAATTATTCACTAATATGCTAAAATCGTTACACCTTAATATATAGATTTTTATTATTTATTTTTTGAATCAGTTACTAAATTAATTCTAAATTTGGTAGCAAAATATTCATATGTGTAACGACTAATGTTGGAACTTAAAGTTGATTGACACATTCAGAGCTGTAACCGTTATATTTGGTTGCATTGTTGGAAGAATAATATGATTGACACATTTTTTTTTTTTTCTAAAAATCAGAAACACGAATAATTTTTTTTATTTATGTTAATTTTCTTAATATATGCCACAAATATATAAATTATTTTATTCATGTTACTAATGTAAACGTTGCATGATTAAAATAAAATTTAAATTTCAATTAATTTTGAATGATAAAATAACTTAAGAAAAAGTAATAATTTTATATGATAGAAGTACATGTCTAATTAATAAATATAGACAAAAACGTGTTTTATATTTGTGTAAATGCACATGATCAAATACTAGTGGAAAGAATTACAAAACACTAGAAGAACAAATTTAAAACACAAGAGGAGGGCAGATTTGTATTTAATGGAAATTGTCCTCAATTATTAGTAGAAATTATAAATGTACAATTTTTTATGAACTAAACATATCTATACATGGATAACCCATGTGCTCATCCATGCAATATATATATATACCCCAATTATTTCCTTAACCAATTTTCCCATAAACCTATCTCTTACATTCACTAAAGTTAAATCATAGAATTTCTGGAGACCAGACAAAATGGCCCAAGCACCCTCAGTATAATCTCAGCCAATTTTATAATTCTCCTCCATCTTCGCCTCAACTTCCAATAATGATACTCCAAAAAGCTTTGGCCCTTCTCTTTTCTCTCTATTCACCATATGCTTGTGTGCCTCTCTCTCAATATCCCCTATATTATAAATGGCTACCAAATCAAATAGTTCCTTAGATTTCCTCTTCATGATCTCGAGCTCGTTTCTCAAAACTCCGTTTTCTTGCTTCAGTCTCTTGTTCTCGTCGGCTAGGGTTGTGAATCCTGACGAGGATGAGGTGGATGACGTGGACCTATCCACCGATGATTGGGTTTTCGGTTCGTGTGTCGATTGGGCTTTTGTGTTGGGCCTCGGCTTGTTGGAGAACGATTTTCTTCGTCGGATATTGCAGAGTTGGTTCCTTTCGCCCTTACGGAACATTTCATTGCTAAATTCCCACCGGCTCGTCGCAACCTTGCGAAAACCCTAGAGGAATTATGGAATAAAAATAAATGTAAAAAATAATGATTGTTAAATATAGGAACCATAGGTCAAGAATATGGAGCTATATATCATTCAACTTAACAAATCAAAATAAAATTCTTATGTGTGAGAATGGACCAATCAGTCACTATTTGTGACTCTAATTAAGAAAATGATGTATAACAATTTGGGTTTTTTTGTCCTTATCTAAAGTATATATCAAATGAACCAAAATGGAAGTAATTGGGATTTATATGATGATATATATATATCTCTATTTTCCTCAAAAATAATAAATCTTTGATTTAGACGATGATAGGCCACCGCACGGCACATGCTAATTACCACCAACAATAAGCAATATCAAAAAATGATCAAACATTTGTATCTGAAGATAACACATATGCAAATATATGTTATTAGAAAATTAATTAGACACGATAATTAGATGATGTGTCCTTGTAATGAACTCATCATCATTTGTTAATCACATGTTCATTTCCAAACATAAGTTCACATATTGTGTGCTCCTTATATCCTAAGCCCGCTTATTAGCCTTGAGCATTCACACATTACCCAATTTTTTCATCAAAAAAGGACAAAAGATAAATGGGAAAAGACAAACTGGTGGGCAATGGAGTATATATAACTAAAGATTATATATTTTTATTTTCATGAAGCAAGACATCTTTGGAAATTAGAACTCCTTCCTAACCACAAGCTTAGCCGAGTTCGAGCTCGAGTTCGTCTCGTCTCGTTTATCAATATTAACGAGTTCGAATTTTAACGAGTCGAAATGGAGCTCTAAATAGTCGAACTATAGAAAATTATATAAAAATCATCTTTTTCAAGTCTGAGCAGAGTTGTTAACTAAATGAGACTTATGAGCTCGAGCCTTAATTACTTAGTCGAATTAAGTCTGAGCTCCATCCACACTATTGTGAGAGAAGAAAATCATACTCACGTAAACCTAAACATAGCTCAAGCAAGAAAATAATAATTAAAAAATTATAATAATTGACAAGAAAAAGCAAGATTTTAAGTAAAAAACACACACACGGTGAGTGATGATCATACATAAGTGTTGAGCTGCCTGACAAAGCTTGAGAAGTTGCAGTGCTTGAAGAGTGTGGGGAGGAGATCCCGAGCGAACTCGGCCGGCCGCCACACGATGAAGGCAGTGCCGCAGTCGTTCCACGAGACGAGATTGTTCGTCACCGGATCCTCCACCAACATGTACGTCTTCACCAGGAAAGGCGGCGCCGCCTTCATGTTTTTTTTTCCCCTGAAGAGAGAGAGAGAGAATAATGATATGTTTTTTACTTTACTGAAAACAAATTATTAGTGGTTACGGCGGACGGTGGCGGCAGAGAAGAGAAGAAGGGCGGTAAGGAACTCCCAACTCCAGCAATAAAAGCCCGACACGTGTGATTCACTCTTCATCACAATCTTATGCATCCATTTTTTTTTCTTTCTTTTTATTTTTTATTTTTGTTGGTGTTTTCTCTCTCTATCNATATATATATATATATATATATATATATATTTTTTGGTACAATCTATCTTGCTATATTTGTTTAAACAAAATTGTGTACTTCTGTATACGCCCCTCTCTTCTCTCTCTCAACACAAACACATACATATTGCACATTTTTGTATGCGTACATGCATAAGTCAAACCTTAGGCAATTTTCCCTTTTTCTTCTCTGCATTGAAAAATTAAATCAATTCCAAAAAGCAAAGCTATTCGCTGTAATTGGTAAAAACCATTTTTTGAGGTAAAATTGGAGATTTACATTCCAATCAGAGGTTTGACCGTTTAAAACTTATATATTTGAGATGTTTGATAATCAAAGTCTTACATTAGGTTTTCTTTTTGTTACAAATAAATAAATGTTAAAAAAAATAAAAAACTTCAAATACGAGCTTTTGTAAAGGATGATTGAAAATATTTTATAATGATGATTGAAAATATTTTATAAATGATAATTTTGTATATTTTTAGTTATATTTAGCATTAATTTGATATGAATTTATATTATTATATACGATGAGTTTAAATATCGAATTACTTTATATTATCAAATTATTATATTAATTTGATAGAATTTATATTATTATATTGAGCATTAATTTATATTATTATTATATTAAAAAAAAGTGGATAAATATGTGTATTAAAAAGACCTAGTGACTATCGTTCAGTCCCCGCTAAGTGAAATCTACTCAAAATAAGAAGTTCGAAAAAATGAGGTTGATATTAAATTTATTGTGTAATTTTATGATAAAATTCATATTTATCCATAAATATGGGGGAAAAGAAAAAAATTTGTAGAAAAATGAATATGGTTGTTGTTAGGCAGCATTAGCATTTCAAAAGTAATGCATACTTTCTTATGACATATATTTTAAATAAAAATAAAATAAAATTTCCAGTTCAAAAATTATGATGGGTCGTCGTACAGTAATTTATTTTAACAATTTAATTTTTAGAAATAATTTTCTGGAACGAATTTTCTAGGAAATTACAAAAAAGCTCTCTAAGTTGAAGAGCATGCAGTATTCAAAATTGGAGGCCCAATGCTCACAAAAAGTTGTTCTGGACAAAAGACACTTTAGATAGTGATCAGTTGGAAAATCACAAAAAGCTTTTTAATTTGAAACAAATTCATTTTTCTCATTTGATTTAAAATGATTATTTTGGTCAATTATTGTAGGATATTAGCCATCTTTTGATTACACATATCATCGAAGTAATATTATACGATTTCACATTGAAAACGAAGCAAATTTGGTGACTTCAACTTTAGATCAAACTGCACTCATTGTATCAAAGCAAATATCACACAAATTTAGTCAAACTCCGTCATAATTATATTTAAAATAAAGTTAGATGAAAAATGCTACAATCCCGTTACGGAACCATTCCGTTGGGATTGTAACCGTCAATAATGTTTGATCTAACGGTTACAAATCCCAACGGAATGGTTCCGGGATTGTAGCCTTACCCAAAGTTAGATACATTTTTCTTGTAAATGATGTGTGTAATAGAGTGCGTGCGTGATGCATATTTTGGACCTTTTTACAACTCAGTATACATCATCATGTTAGATTCTAGAAATTAAGATTGATTACTTATTTATTATTTATTTCGTCACAATTTTTTTTGCTTTTTTTTTTTATTATTATTCATAATTAATTTGTCATGTAGTGGGCACTTTATGCAGAAAATTAAAATTACCTATTAACAAATTCAAATGGTCTATCCCCAAATAACTAATAAAAAACATCTCATTCATATAATAATCTATATCTATATAATAAAAATAACTATTTATTAAAAATAGTAGTAAAATATTTTGAGAGCATTTAAAGCATATCTTTTTTTTAGAAATTTGCATCCATATACAAGTTTTTAAATAAGATAAAATCAGATATGATAAATGGCCTTATAACTTTTCACCCCGTACATCACACAAGCTCTGCACTAGTTGGTATAAAAGCCAAAACATATATTTCACTCCATAAATAAATGACACGTGTATTAATCCAACAAATGAAATAGAAATAGATGTGAACTCGTTATTTTGTGTTATATATAGTTTTATCATTTGATAAAAAAAAAATGTAGAAATATATGATACTAACATGTATGTGCAATAAAACACCTAATCCCCTAGCATTTTTGTCTAATAATAAAATATATATTATGAGGAGGGTAATCTTTTCTTAACAAGGAGGTTCGGTTTGGAGAGAGATTGATTGAGTGCCTAAAAAAATCATAAAGCCCACTTAAGGTAGCAAAGATAAATGGCCTGATACAAAAAGCCTTGAATAAAATGGACCGCAGATGGATGGAGAATTTGGGTCAAACGATAAGCCCAGGCTAGGCCTACGGCATCTCTACTTGTGTACATTCATCTATTTTTTATTTTTTTTATCTACTTATTCAAAAAAAAAATGTGGGACAATTATTTTTCGTTTAAGTTAGGATTGTGATTAGTAAAAAATATTTAAAAAATTAAACTATTTATTTTATCTCTATTTTTCCACATTCTTATTAATATAATTTAGAATTAGAAATAATATTACATAATTACCAACAAAAATTGTTATTAGCACTCATATATTTTAGCCACTAATACATATTTAAATATTATCGTACTAAATCAACTTTAGTAATTATACTTTTTTTTCATATATTCATTTAAAAT